TTCCACTTTTGACAAGGAGCTATTTAGTTACAACAACCCCCTTAAAATCTACATAAATTTGTTCAGGCTTTTGTTTTAAGAAGGGTGCTATGAAACTTGCCAGAAGATTGCTTTTCCTCTATTGCTTTGCTCTTTCCGAATAAAACCATTTTATTGGTGAAAGGCTGTTTGCTGTTTGTTTAAGGTCATCCCACTGTAGTTATCTCATAGCTGATGAACTTTACTTCAAATCAGTACCTCTTAGATGTTTCTAAGAGGTAGAGAGATGTTCTCTTAAATTAAGGAATTAATTATCTCAACTCTCTATTTTAAATATAGAGAGAAGGTAGGTCGTTTATTGGTTAAAAAACAAACACCCAAAACAACTTTATTGAAGAATAATTGATATAAAAGGAACTTCATAGATTTAATGTATACAGTTTGATGTTTGTACGTATACAAACTGGCGATGTCATCCACCAGTTATAGATATATCCAACACCTCCCAAAATTTTCTTTCCTATTGTTCCTAAAACTTAACATGAGATTTGTTGAGCAAACAAGTCTTGAAATGCTCAATATAATTAATTATACATACTATTTCTTAAGAATTGCAACTTTTAAGCTAAAGAACAAATCCAGGCCCCTCATGGGATCAAAGTTAGTGTTGGATAAAATGATGTTATTTGGGGACCTTTAAATAACATCTCCAGAATTTATTCATCTTGCATAACTGAGACTTGATACTCATTGAAAAACAACTTCCTATATTTCCCACTTCTTGGCAACCAACATTATATTCTCTGCTTTTATGAGTTTGACTATTTTAGACATCTCCTATAATGGGAACCATATAGTATTTGTCTTTCTGTGATTGGTTTATCATTTCACTGAGCATCATGTCCTCCAGGTTCATCTGCATTGCTAAAATAGCAGGATTTTCTTCCTTTTAAAGGCTGAGTAAATGTATTACACATATATACTTTAGATCTTGGCCATTAGTTTACAATATACCAGTGACCAGAAAGAGCCTTTCTGACTTTGAGCAGGTATCCTTACCAGGAGTCAGTTTTGGGGAGGCAGAATCATTTTGTAAAAGAAAAAGAGCCATAATAAAAAATAAGATATCACTGCTCACCTAGTAAAACAGACAAAACACAAAAGAATTATAGTACCAGTACTGGTGAAGATGGGGAAAAACTGGTTCTTTCAGACATTGTTGGTGGAGAAGTAAAATGATAAAGCTGCTCTGGAAAGTAGATGGCAGTTTTTATAAAATTAAATATATATTTACTCTATGTGCCATCAATCATACTTTTAAGAATTTAATCCTAATCCTGAGAAACTAAAACTTAAATTTACACAAAATCATATACACAAATATGCAGTATAAGGGGGAAAGGATGATGTCCATCATCAACCTTTTTGTGTGTGCCTGCAGTTGGATATTAAGTGCACAGGTGAGGATCCACAGTGAGCAAACAATCCCCAATGTGAATAACAATAGTAGTTTTATTCATAATAGTAGAGCAAAGGAGTTAATCCTAGAAACAACTAAAATGTACCTCATGGGGGAAATGATGAACAAATTTATCCATAATGGCCCTCCCTGGTGGCGCAGCGGGTTAAAGCACTGCATTGAGAAGCTAAAGCCACTTCCGCATGAGTTCGATTCCCGCCTGCCCCGGAGGTGACCACATGGTGTGGCAGACCTCTCCTGACCCACCCGCTGCTCCCCTCAGCAGTGTACTTTGTCGATCTGCCTGTTCTGCTCCCCACTCTGTCTCTGGTGAAGCCTCTCACCGCCCCAGCCTCTGGCCTGTACCCCAGTTCTGTATGCATAAATAAATAAATCTTTAAAAAAAAAAATTTATCCATAATGGATAGAATGGAAAAATACTTAGCAATACACAGGAATGAACATTTTATGTCTGCAGTAACCTGAAGGGAACTCAAAGACATTGTTTAGATTTGAAACATCAGTCTCAAAAAGTTGCGACATGCTATATGATTCCATTGATAGAACATTCTGGAAATGACAAAACTATATATATGAAGGAAAAGATGGGTGATTACTAAGAGACAGGGATGGAGCAGAGGATGGAAAGAGGTGGACTACAAAATCACAAAAATGTAGTTTTTTGCAGTGATGGAGTAGTTCTATATCTTGATTGTAGAGGTTACATGAATTTACACATGGCATAAGGTTACATACACAGTCATAGCTATAAAAAGTTATGAATTAACAGTAATTGCAGAAGCTTAAACTACAAAAGGCCTGAAGTTGCTGCCACCATCACTATCTGGCTACTTCTGATACCATCTTTTGGAGTTTGGGTCCCTGGGTTCACTCTGGGAAAGGTTTCACCAGAGCTCCCCTTTCAGCGGCAAACGGTGAGATTCTCCACAAGACAGAGTCGCAGTTATATTTAAAGAGGAAGTTTATTAGAAAGAGACAGGAGAGGAAAAGGCACTTGCATAGGCGCAAGCGGGCAGGATGAGCTGCTCAGGAAGGGACAGGTTTGCTGAGAGACCTGCATCTGCATGGTTGCAGGCAGACGGCCCTAGGAGAGCAGCCTCCCACGGGGGAGGTCAGTGCAGAGAGGTCCCGGCATGGTACAGGTGGCTGGCAGGCAGGAGGCTGCTGCCATGCAGAGGGAGAGCACGGGTGGAAAGAAAGCACCTGCATAGTCATAGGTGGGTAGAGGAGCAGCTGCCCCCTGATGGTGGAGAGACTGCCCTGATATAGACAGCTTCTCTTTGGGAGGGGCCCCCTCCTTGTGAGCGTAGGTAGAACCTGAGGGGACGGGAGATTTCCTGATGAGTTTCCTCTCCTTGTCCTTATCTTTTACCTTTTGGGTCTGAGCTTCAGGCACAACCCCCAACACTCTGTTATCTGCTGGAACCTCTTGGAGACATCCTGGCATCCTGGACATCAGGCTTTGGTGCCTGAGGTCCTTGATTTTATGGGTGTGTCAATTGCTTCACTAGTCCCTTCTATCTGTCCCCTTTGTGCGACCCAATCTCGTGATGCCTCTCCTGCATTCCTTCCTCCATCACTTCTATACTGTTCTTTATTCTGCCGATGGTGGACAATTATTTCTTAGTTATGGAGCTGAGCAGAGAAATGTCTATTCCTAAGGCAAACCAATCAATCTTACCCATTGGGTATTATCTACAGGCCTTTATTCTTTTCATTTTTAATTTTCCCATACCTAATAGTGTGAGAGGCTTCTTTGTTGCCAGGGGTGTTTTTCATTTTAACATTTGAATTGGATGCCAATGCAGATGCTGGAAGGTGCCAGAAGGCAGTCCTCCAGATAACTGTCCCTTACTCTCTAGCTTATATCACACTGTTTGGTTACAATTAGCATTTCGAATATGCATTGTCATCTTATTAAAATTTATATTTTTTAATGGAGAAAGCACATGGATAGTTGAATGTGGAGCCCACTCTGACTCTTAGCGCTTCTTAGTTACCTGTGTCTGAATTAAGCTGAACCCCTGGGCCTCAGCTATTTCTAAACAGGTTAATGCCTGGGGGAACATTAACCTTGCAGACACTAATCTAATTCAGTGCCATCACAAGTACACAATGCTGGAGTTTGGAGTTTGGCCAAAAAGCACTATTCAAATGAACACTCAGTTGGCTAAAGGTGAGAAGGTGGGTGTGATTGTAAAGAAAGGAGAAATCGAGAAAGTGTACATACTTTAATGCCTTTGCTTTCCCTCAGAAGTTGAAGTATTGTAGAAAGATGCTAAGTAACATCTTTAGTCAATCCTAATAAACTCGTTTTGTCCTATGATTTCTGTTGCTCATAATAATTGAGCATTCACTTAGTGTCTTTTACGTTACATGGCTGACCTTGTGCTAGGGTGGGGACACAAAGATGAGTAATTGTAAACATCACAGTATGCACAAGCACCTCAGGGCGCCTAATAAATGTTAGTTTAATGAAGGCACCATTAAGGAGGTCACAATTTGGCTAAGGTCACCGAAAGGGCCTTCAGGGAAGAAACATAACTGTGCAATGCTGGCTCTACAAGAATCATTACCAAGCCTGCCTGCCACACAAAACGAGATTTGGGCCCGAGTGAAGTAAGAGGGGGGTGGGTGGGGAAATACCATTAAGCTCTCGTGCAACAGTCAAGTGTGGGATCACACCCTGCACCTCAGTTTTCAGACACTAACGGTGTTTACTAGTTTCAAGGACTCAAGGCAGCTGTTTTCCGAAAAGGCAACGCTTGGGGTGGCAGAGCAGCCAACGACTGAGTGCTGGAGGAAAGGTCTAAGTCAGAGGGGAAGCGAAAACGCCCCAAATTTCTGGCCGATAACCTTTCACCTAGGTCCCCGCTCCTCTTCCCCTGGGTCTGAAAGCTCCCACCCGCATCAGTCCTCCACTTCTGAGGGCGCTGGACCTTAAGACGTCAGGAGGCCCCCTCTCAAAGCCATTTCCTCAGGCCCGACGTTTCTCGAGTTGCTTCCCTCCCAGGCCCAGCCAGCTTCCCTAGCCACGCTGGGCTGGCTGACACGCAGGCGCTGGAGTCGAAGCCACGCTGGGTCTTCCCAGCCAGGTCCCCGAGCCAGAGAGGGCGGGCGCCGCGGAGCGCTTCCCGTGTACGGGGCTTCCCACAATGCACCGCGCCGGCGGTGGCGGCGACCGCGGCGGCGCTCTAGCCGTGGCATGTCTGCATCTCTACTGCTCTGGGAGGAGGAAGAGAAGGAGGAAGAGGAGGAGGAGGAGGGGGAGGAAGAGGAGAAAGGCGCAGGGGTGGGAGCTGTTGCTGAAGCTGCCACAGCAAAAGTTCTCCCCCCCTCCCCCCTTCCCCTCCTCGCAAGGCCCCTAGAAAGGTTGAAGCTGCCGCCGCCTGCAGTCGGTGACCGCGCGACTCGGCGCCCGCCCGCGGTAAAGCGCTCGGCCTGGCAGGCCTGGGCCCGGGGGAGGGCGGGGGAGGGGGAGGGGGCGGCGCGCGGGGGGAGCGCGCGGCGGTAACGGCCTGACCCCGGGGGGAGCCAGCCGTGGGGAGGCTGGGGGTGGCCAGGGGACCGGCCGAGGCCGAGGGAAACGCTGGAGCTGGTTGGGGACGGGAGGAAGCAGGGCGCGGATGGTGGGTTGGGGGTTGAGAAAGGATAATGACGGGGGTGGCGGAGGCGAGAAGGCGGCCGCCGAGGCCTGAGGGGGGTGTCAGAGGTAGGGAAGGAGGTGGGAGGTTTGCCTGGGGGAGCCGGAGGGTGCTGGATGTGGGTGTGAAAAGGCTGGGAAGGCACCGAGTCTCTGTCCATCGTGCCTGGTGCAGTGCTTTATGCACCGCAGGCCTCAGTCACGGCTGCTGCCAGAGTGTGTTCTTTGGGAGAAGGGAAGGGCAGGGGTTGGCGAAAAGGGGATCCTTGCAGGAAACATAGTGGGAGTGGGGACTGGGAGAGAGGCCGCAGGGAGAGATGCCGGGTAGGTGGAGGAATGCCGGGGGTGGTTGTGGAGGAGTCTTCAGGATTCTGGGGGGCTGTTCATTGTGCAGAAACAGTAGATAATTCGTTATGGGAAGCGTTTCAAAGGAAAGGAAAGAAGAAATAGAAGGAATTTCCGTGAATAGAAAGGGTAGCGTTTGAAGCAAGAGGGATTGCTAAATACTAGCGAATGTGAAAAAAATGCATAATAGAATAGACAGATGTAGTAGAATTAATAAATGTTGGCCCAAGGACTTAAGAGTTATTCCAGATGGGCCAGGATGGCCTAGTTCCGAACCTGTTTGGACTCTTTTCTGTAGATGACATCTGGTAAGTGTGGGTCTCTGCTGTGGTCGGGGGTCACTGGGAATTAGACCTTAGTTTGGTCTGAAACAATTTAGACCTGCACCAGTGAATATGAAACCTCTGAAGAAGACCTTAAAGAAAGGTCTGACCCACAGGCATCATCGAGTTTAGATTTTAGAAAATTTGAAATGGATCACTGATCTACAGTCTGGGTGAACACTGTTCTGGCAGATGCAGGGTGGAAATTACTTGACTTGAACATTTTCTTCTTCACTATTCGACTTACATGTTTCAGGAGAACTGACACTACATTATACAGCTTTGGTTGCAGTATACTGGCTCATAATTATGATGGGGGGAGTCCATAGATATTGGCCCTTCTTTGGAGACTCCATTTGGAGCTCAAATTATTTTAATTGACTGGATCAATTTCAAAACCCTGGGGCTGGTGATAGAATTTTTGCCATTCATGGCTCCTGATATTCTCTCAAAGCCTTGTGGTAGGGTTGAAGAACATCAATCAGCCTACAGTGTACAAGCCTGCAGAATGGAAGTTCTACAATACCTGTTTTGGTCTTAGGTTGCTAGGAGGTCAGGCCAGTTACTTTGAGGTCTAGAGGAACCTGAGGAGCCTGGATGTTTCTAGAGCTAGCTTATTGGGAAGATTCTCATTTCTGTATCTGGAAATGAAACAAGGCCTGTCAGATTTGTTGAACTCACCCTGCACTAGACTTCCAATAGCAAACTCTGGGTTAGAACCATATTCTTAAGATTTACCTGAAAATTACTCACCTTTGGCTAGTTCAGCTGATGTGGGTAGTGTGAGAAATATTTTTATGGAAATACAGGCATAGGGATTACTGGGGAAGTTGGAAAGAAATTTAGGAGAGGGATGGGAAAATTAAATTAGTCCTTCATTTAGTAAATATCTAAATAATTACAGAGAACTTTAGTTTAAATTTTTCTTATAGAAATAATCTAGAATTATTTTTAAAATTTTGGAAAAATTTTGGTGCCAGTACATATATATTTACTCATTCCTTTTGAGAGTTTCAATGTGTTACTGAGTATTATGTGACCATTTTCATCGACATCATAGTAGGGGTAGTTTTACTACCCCTCACTAGGACTGTATGTTAAGTGTTCTAATTTTTGGAAGATGAATGAACTTACATATAGTATGCCATTTTTCCTCCTGTTTTAAATTACACGAAATACTACAGGTACACAGTTAAAAAATAATTGCCCCAAGGGTGATTATAATGAAAAACTACTGTCTGTGTCACCTGTATATAAGCAGTCTCATTGTCCAGAGGTTACTATGTCTGGGCTTTAATTTATGTAGTCCTTAAGCTTTTTTCTAGGTTTCCAAGTAATATGCTGATGCTATTTTATTTTGATTGGTCAAAATGACATTATGAAGGAGTCAGAAGACTTTACTATGAATGAAAGGATTTGTGTCACTGGTATTATTCTCTCTTTTTCCTTCCAACTTTTGATAGTTATTATTTAGCTTTTTTAATTCAATATCTTTTAATATGGTTAAGCCTTGATTTTAGAGTTCAGTAAGCTAGAGGTTGGCTCTATCTTACCTGCTATATTAAATAAGATTTTAAGCTAGGGAGGACTTTCTTGAAATAGAGAAAGCATTTAAATTTAGTGAGATGTTAAAGTTGGAAGTAACAACTTTGAAAAGGTTGCTGGTTAGAAATTAAGAGTGATATTTGTGTGTCTTGGAATTAATTACCAGGTTAACAGTGCAGTATTTTGTGATGACCTTCTGGAGAGTTTCAGTGTGGGGAATCTAGGAATAGAATAAAATGATCCTGGATTGTTCTTTCCAGGCTTTAATGGAAAATATTATGTTTTAAGAAAGGAGTGAATTGGAATGGATTTGTTTCTTTTTTGTGGAATGGGGAGGGGAGAGTTGGGGAAATGCCCTAAGAGGAAGAAGAGGCTGAGGAGGGCAGGGTTTGATGGAGGTGCTGATAATTTTGTGGAAGGCAGAAGAAAAGGTAAAGAATTTTAAGGCCTTTTGGATGTAGTTGATATGAAGGAGGTTTAAATGACAGTGTCTTGTAAGACAAAGATTTTGGCAGTTATAAGGAAATTAGCATACTGAAGTCATAGGACTATGGTGGGAAAAGTATGTTGTTCATATATTAGAATAAATTCATAAATTGTTGGTATTTTTGAAATTTGCATATGAGGTGCAATAGGGATATTGAGAGAACAGAAAGGTTCTGTTCTATCAGAAGTCTTTAAGTAATCCTACCTCTTGAGAATCTTATTTTGAATCAGAACAGCATTCACATGTAGATTGTATATTGCTAAATCTAGTATTGCTTATGGGAATTATCCTCTCTTTGTTTTCCAAATGGTTGCTAGTTTGTAACTTTCTTTAGAGCTGAGACTTTTCTTCAATCTCTGGGGAAACTCAGAACAGCTTAATTCTTAACTGCTTAATAAATACTTGTTGAGTGATTGATAAAAAGTAGTATTCACTGTTAGTGATGACAGTGGAACTGTGTGAAATATTGTGGGGGTATAGTAGACAAAATAATGTGTATCTGTGTTTATTTGAGAGAGTGGCTAGGAAGTGAAGAAGCATAAAAGGATAGAATGATCCTCTAACAATCCAAAAATATATCAAAGGGTGGGACCAAAGGTTTTTTTTTCTAGTCTGAGGCTATTTAATATGAGTAAATCTGGTCTGGTCTGTTCAAGAGCTGGTTGGTACCTCCTTTAACTTGGGTTTTCTTATCTCAGCCTAAGTGACTACTTAGCTGTTGTAAGAATCAGACTCCATTTAATTAATTTCAGGATAATAAAAGTGTTGGATGAAGCTTCTTCCCTCGGGGAATTTATAGTATTTACATTCTTTTGTGGGCAAAAAGGAGTGGTAAGAGTTAAGAGAATTGATTTTTAAAAATAACATTAGATAAGACATTTAATACCTTGGTAGTCATTTTTAATAGTAATGTTCAAAACTTTTTTTTTTTAAAGATTTATTTTAGGGCCCTCCTTAGTGGTACAACGGGTTAAAGCACAATGCTGTGAAGCTGTCTGCAGCCACTGCAACGTAAGTTCAATTCCCAGCCCAGGAGGTGACCCACATGGCGCAGCAGACCTCCTGAACTGCCTGCTGCTCACCTCAGCAGTGTACTTCACTAGATCTGCCTATTCTGCTGCTTCTGCTCTGTCTCTGGTGAATTCTTTCACCCCTGCATTTCTGGCCTATACCCAATTTTTATATACATGAGTAAATAAATATTTTTTTAAAAAAGATTTACTTTATGCATACAAGAACTGTGGTACAGGTCAGAGATGTGAGGAATGAGAAGATTCTTTCTCCAGAGACAAGAGTAGGAAACAGAACAAGTGGATTAACTGAAATATACTGCTGAGGGGAGCAGTGGACAGGACAGGAGAGGTCTGCCACACCGTGTGGGTCAGTTCCCTTGTCAGGGATCGAACTCGCTGCACTGGCTATGGATAGCTTCACAGTGCTGAGAGCACTGAGTGCAAAAACGCCCTGCGATTTTGTTCAGAACTGTTTTTGGAACACCTTTTCTGAATTACTTCTGCCACAATAAATACAATCTACCTATTTACTAAAGAGCTGCTGTGTACTGTTAGGGGAGGGAGCCTAACAGGATAAGTAAAACTTGGTTCCTATCCTTTAAGAGTTTATAATTCCTCCAGAGTGGCATATTTATAAATTATATAAGGCATAAAGTTATTCTAAGTAGTTTCATTGGTGACACATTTTAGTTTGAAAGATTTGATTTTTTAGAAATGCTGATGATCTATTGCTGTCAAGGAGAATAAGTAGAGAATTTGGTTTATATTCATTTAGTCACAGAAATGATTTTTCTTGGTTGATGTATTAACTACTTTGGATAACACTTCCATTGAGGAAATTGGAAATACTTTGAAGAGGTGATAACTTCCTTTCAGATTAGGCATAATATGAATATTGGTCAAATTCATCAATATGGTTGGATGTCTAAAATGCTAAGATAACTATTTTGAAGAGGATCAAATTGAATTTGATGTGTAAATGAATTTTGGATATGTTAACAGTTTCATTACATTAATTTTATAGTTGTAGGAGTTCAGAGAATAGAGAAATGAATGTTGGCTAAGATTTAGGGAAAGTATTTAAGTGTACTATACTGTAGCTAGATATTTGAAAGGATTCCTTAGGGATCTTAGGAGAGGAATGATTTTGCTCCAAATTTCTCTTGCAGCCCTAGAATGAACCTACAGTCTGGATCTATTTTTGTCTGAAAGCTTTTTGCGTATTTCACTTCAGCTACTCTTACTTGTTCGTTCTTTTCAAATTCACCTTTGTTGGGTCCACCTTTGTTGAGCCCCCGGAGCAACTTGGGGTTGGTGGGGGCAGTGACTGTTTCCATCTATATCTAGTATAACTTTTTAATTTTTTCCCTTTTTTGAGCTTGTACCTCATTGATTACTTAGTTTCAGTGAGTGAAGAGCGTGAGTCAACTTGGCTCTCTTATCCTGGCATTTTCCTGTATGCTTTTCTCAGAGCTGCTTTTTGAATTACAGAACAGAATAGAAATTGAGGGCATATTTCCAGTAGACACTGCCTGTTAATGAATGGATAGAAAATATCTAAATTATCTGTATGTTTTCTCTTCCATTTATTCATAATCTACCTTTTTCTACAACAGATTTAATGATACTGACAAAAATATGTTCAGTAAAAATGAGATAATTGAGGAAATCTACTTGAGAATATGAAGGAAACGTTTGTTTAAAGAATATTAGAAAACTAAAGTGGGAGGTAAGTGGATACAGAAGGAAATTTGTTAACCAATAGAGTATATTCTGAAAGAAGAGAGAGATGATGACATAGATGATGTTTAGCGATAGTAAAAGACAGCTGAAAGTAAAGAGGATTATTTGAAGTGGCTATTTCTGGGAGGAAAATGATAAAACTACTTCAAGCTTAATAGTTAACAGAAGTTTGGAATATAATAGAAATTATAATGCTG